TACCTCTCAATAATAAAATTCTCCGTTAAAAGCCGACATTTTCAAACTCTTCCGGTTTGAAGAGCGTTTTTGAAAAGCTCCGTTTTCGTGGCGGTTTAAAGCTGTGTTTTCAAATTTCTCCGGCGTAGTGTGGACGCTGTCTAACTCTCTTGCCCATATATATTCGTTTACACAGACGGAGTGCATCGGTTCAGGAGCTGGCTACTTCACGTCGAAATTCTCTATTTCCGAGGAAAGCATAAAATTTATTTGTCCTCGAGCCATCGAGTCTGTCAAGTCCATTCCCGTGAAGGTCGGTGATACATTCACCATCACTGATTATGGTTGTGCAGATGGAGGCACCTCCATGCCACTGATGTACGCATGCGTAAAAGAACTGAGGAGCTTGTATGGGAATGAGTTAGAGGTGCAAATTAATTACGAGGACAAACCAGAAAGTGACTTTAAGTCGCTCTTTTATTTTCTTCAAGGTAGGAGGAAACTTGTGAATTAAAATCATAGCAGAAGCTTATAAACTTCTGTTTGTACTGAAGAATAACCTTTTACATCCAACCTCTCGTTTCCAGAAAGAATGCGACGGATATACGCATGTAGAGGTTACAACCAGTAATCCATTGTAAAGGATGGCTGCAACAGAATGAGTTTTCTTTCCAATGCAAATCACCCATTGTCAAGCTGGTCGAATGAAAAACCTCAGACCTCAGTGTTTTAGCAACTTTCACAATATCTCCTTGAAAACACCATCTTGCCACCTAGACTAAAGGGAAACACCATAATAAACGTTGGCATGTAATCCGAACATTCTTTGTGTCTTGTAGGTTTACTTCCAGCTCCATCCAGCTACCTCACCGATTTCCCAAATGTTTTTGTGTCTGCGACGGGAACCAACTTCTACGATCAGTGTTTTCCCAGTGGGTCTGTAAACTTTGGGTTTTCCTGCATGGCGGCTCATTGGCTGAGCCAAAAGCCCTGCAACTTAACAAAAGCAGTGCTGCACAGTTTCTCTGAAGATCCGGATGAGAGAAACGAGTTTAGTGTACAAGCCGAGAAGGACTGGGAAAGGTTTCTGCTGATGAGAGCAAGAGAACTATCTATAGGTAAGACAAAACTACCAGGAATATTTAGTTATTGAAAAAGAGATAACATTTTCCGTTATATAAACACGATCGGAAGTTTGGGAGTGCGAGAAATTATGTGGAAATATTTAGTTTCGGCGAGACATATAAAAGTGAGTTCATAGCTGCATGACACTGCTAGAGGCTGTTTGTTGTCTTAGTTTGGAAATGTCCACGTGAGCTTTGAAAAGAGATCGAAAAGCTTCGGAGGTATTAAATAATTCTAATTTAACGTGGAGATGAAGAGGATCCCGTCGTAATGTTAATTGCAGTTCTGTTAAAATTGAAAACGATTAATTTAACGCACCTGCGTTACGTGTGTTCAAGAAACCTCGTTTCCAGGGCTTGGTCCTTCTTTCTCTTCCGTAGCTGTATCTTTAGCCTAGCCTAGTTCCTAGTCTTCAATATTTTGCCTCGGTCAATCGGTTTCGAGTCACGTGGTTCGTCTCAGATAAGTCACTGAAATCAATTGACAGTGAAGGCCTGAAAGAAACCGCGCAGTTTAGCCGGGATAACCAAGTCTTTTGAATTTGGACGTAACAAGAAAACACAAATTTGAGATTTCTAGAAGTACCGTTTCCTTTGTTTAAAAGGTGGAAAGCTGGTGCTCATTATGTTTATGCGGGATGATGAAGATGGTTACAATGATGTTGATGGGGGTACTTCGCAATTTCCACTCTACAGTGGACTGTACAGGGTGTTGGAAAGCATGACAAGAGATGACATCATCACAGAGGTAATATAGCTGTATACAATTTCCACGTTTTTCTCTCCCTCATACGAACAAGAACATCATCATGGTGACTTAAAATAAACAGTACCACAGGAAAGTTCTGCTGGATAGCTTTCATTTGAATGATCATACACTAGGGCTTCATTCACAGACTTAAAAGTTAGAACCACCTTGTACACTATAATAAACAGCACCACATCAAAGTACTGCTCAATAGCTTTGATTTGAATGGTTACACTCTAGGATTTCATCTACAGCCTTAAAAGTTAGAACTAAATGTTTGAATTAAACGGTCGTAGTCAAGAGTAACAATCACAAGTTATAACCACCTTTGACAGCGTAATATTAAACGTTACCACATGAAAAAACACGAACATGGTGCGCCACTAGCGTGACCCACCCCATTCACCTTGATCGCTTTCCCAACACAGGATGAGATGAAGGAAATGACAATCCCCGAATACTACCGAACGCGGAAGGAACTGATTAAGCCATTCATGTCAGATGAATCGCCAGTCAGAAAAGCAGGTCTGACCCTTGTCTCTGTGGAGTCAAAGGAATTTCTATTGCCAGAAACGAAGCTATGGCGAGAAACTGGAGATGAAAAGCGAGTCTCGAGAATGCTGACCGAACAAACACGCGCGTGGAGCAATTTTATGCTTTTATCAGGTCAGTAGAGTTAGTGTTAAAAAATACGATTAAAAATATCTCGTTACTGGCTTTAAAAACTATTACATAATGTTTTTTTCGGGGTGGGGTGGGGGNTATAAGGCCGGAGCTCATCCCGGTTTCTGTAGCATGAAGCGACTAGGAGTATTTCTACTCTCCCCTGGACGGGATGCTATTCATCACAGGGTTACTCCCAGCATTAAATTTGTCAGTACCCACTTATACACCTAGGTAGAGAGAGGCACATTGAGAGTCTTGCTCATTGAAGAACACAACACGATGTCCCTGGCCAGGGCTCGAGCCCGGACCACTCGATCCGGACTCAAGCGCACTAACTATGAGGCCACCGCACCTCCAACAGGACGTTTTAGATTAAGGGTTAATTAAAGAAAACTTTCTGGCGGACAATGTAGTAAGTTTCCCTAAGTGAAAAAAATAAAAAAAGGAAGCGTTGAAACTGGGGACGAGATGCTTCGACGTTTATCGTCACCTTTTGCAGGAAAGGGGGCTTAATTCAAATTTTCCGACGAGCTTCCCCAATCTTTTCATATGGGAGTTTCCCTAGGGGGGTTCGCGTCACAAGTGGGCAGTACGTGAATGTCCGGTCATGATCGTGACTCCTTTCATTTATATATTTTTCTCTTGACAGCTCTGAACGGCAAGCGTTCCAGCCAGGAGAAAGCAGACATTGTGAACGAGTTTTTTGAACGTTTGGAATCCGAGATACTGCGTTCCCCAGAGGATTATTTGGCCAGTTTTTGGAGTACATTTTTAGTTATTGACAAATCAAAAAACTGATATACACGTCTTTAGAGTAATTGTGAATTTGGGTACGGTTTAATATATAAATGAGCGTATCTAATGAGCTCATTATTTTCAAGGAGTATTCAAAAGCAATGTAAACGGTGTGACTACAAGTGTATAAGGTCGTATAAAAATGTGCCGGATCTAGGGTGAGGAATAAAGTCTCTGTACAAGATATTGTAAGTGCAAACTGCTTTATGTAATAAATCTGTTTGTTGTTGTCTATGATCTTGAGTCTTGTCTACGAAGTAGATGCTCAACTGCGAGGTTTCAGGGGTTTTCGGGG